TACATCTTAAAATTAATTATACAGAGTGTTCAGAAAATCGTCCGTAATACTTCGGGAAGCGATTCGGGATCCAAATAAATACAAATTAAAATGTAAGATGTTCAAAAATTTAGAAGGTTTCTGTAACAAATCTCATGTGTGTTAATTACTGTCTTTAAAACGTCTCATAGTTCATAACGCTCAATCGTCTTTTTCTTAACGTTTCACCAAACTTTCTCGTGGTCTAACGTCTAATCGCGCGCCAACGTCGTCATTTACGCATCGTGGAAGTTTCAGGCACGCGGAAAACAATTACCCGTCGCATGTGAAAGAAAGTACCGCGCCTCAACAAAAATGGGCAGCGACGACTGCGGCGGATATTCATGCCGGGTCGACAAACCTTTGCATTTCATGGATTTTTACAAATGCGCGCCACAAAACTATCTCCTCTATTTGCATAAAACTTTCGAATTGTTCGCTTGGTCATCTGTTAGAAAGCCATTTATACAATCATTGACACAGGTATGCTTTCTCGCAATCGGACCACACCGAATCATCTTAATTTTAAAGAATTCAGGATATCTGTTACCTGAGATTTATCTGTCTTAACAATTCATCTATTGAAACTTATATTATAGTTATGTGTATTATATCGACATATAATAGACTAATGTTTCTTAGATAAAACTGAAAAACTTTAGAAATTTTTGTAAATGTACCGTACTCTCTTATTACGTATATTTAAATTACCTAATTATTCTAATTTATCTAATTATTAAAAACTACCATCAAATTGACTAAAATAAAATGTTTAAAAAAATCCAAAAAATTTTGTTTAAATACAAAAATGATTTTTTTTTTACTAAAAATTATATTACATCAATTTTCGTAATATATGCTATTAGACGTTTTGTAGTTTTCTTATTAAATTTTATAAAAATTAAATAGAAATTTTTGTAATTTATGATGAAATATATATTATTAGAAAATAATAGTTTATTAGAATTATTTTATTTTAATATTAAAACAATTTATTTGTATTATATTATATATTACGTATACAGTAATATAGTTGCAAAGAAAAAAGGTAATATCATCGATAAGTGAACCAGTCACGAGCAAACGTCATCGAAGAGGGGATTGGAGAGGATTCTTGGACAAGAGGTGATTGCACTGTACACGGCTTTTGGAGTCTTTGTAATTAACGTGACGACGACCCACTGACCCACTGGACGATCGATTTTTTCGCTCAACAGTTTGAGACAAACGCTTTTTTAATGTATCTGGACTTTATGAAACTTGAGCGTTTATAGGATTGGAAAGTTTGTGGATTTGATAATAATAACTTTTATTATAATTATAAAAGGAAAACATTGTGATTCTACGACTCACGCAGATTCTGAATTATGTAAATACATTAGGTATCTTTCGAAATACAAGACAAATCGAAGGTCAACATTTCCAAATCCCGAAATAAATATTTGAGAGGTTTTGCAATAAAAAAACAACTATTTGTATACTAATCAACCCCACTTCAAACTATCTCGAATATTTATCTATTTTATTTTAAGAAACTTGATAGATATTTGCCAATCCTTCGTCTTTGATCTTTTTAATAAAATATAATATTATACATCTTTATTTGAGATATATAGTATAATATATCATAAAAAGTGTGCATTCCCACATCTAAGAAAATCGTGATCGAAATAAAAAAATGAATAGACTTCCAAAGATTGTAAAACATATGTACATTTGCGTTCTTGAAATCTTCCGAAAAAGAATAGGAAAAAAAATGATTTTAACATGTTTAATTTGTCATATATTGTAAGATACAACATTAAATTTCAAAAATTCTGTTAAGAACTTACATTTTCGAGGAATGACATCTTCTGATTTCTCAATAGCAAATCTTAAGGAACGCGGAGCAGGAAATCTGAATTGGATCTCAAGTATCTTTATCGTTATAAAATTGTGATACAGTTACACGCAACAGTACTCAGGTTAATTCGTACATTTCACGTCGAACGGAAATGACTCTGCCGTATTCGTCTTGTTTCTAAATGTGTCAGCTGTGCGAAAGGATTCGAGCAGAATTCCCACTGAAAAATGTCGACATTGAGCCACGGTCAGGGTCCCGGTCACGCGACCCTGATTTCGCGTCCCCGCGATTTCACGCTCGCGACACGAACCCGCTACCGGATTTTCTCATTTTTCTGTCGGATACTGCTCGCGATTAATTGTGTAGAAAATGCATTGATGACATTTCATTTCTATGTGAATATTTCTTAGGTGACACCAAATGAAATATGCGGAAAATATGTCATTTATATCATACAGAAACAAAACTTATGTCAATGTAAAAACGAGAAGAATGATATGTATGTATTGAAGAGAAATTTTATTCTTGCGTAACGGAAGATATATGTTATATATTGTTACGTAATAATTACTTGTGAAAATATCCAATTTCAATTATAATACTTTGCGTAAAACTTCTTTAATCTCTACGTGTGTTTATTAATAAAACAGTGAAATATTCTGTAGATATAATATATCGAGATATAGAGATACACGCTTTTTACTCGTGTGTCAAAAAGAAATCTACATAAATTAAACTTGAATATACATAGACGCAAGCGGCAAAAGGCAAAACAAAGTTTGAAGAAAATCTGTTGCACCTGTTATGTTTGGTTCTATTAGAGATATCTCAGTTCACGTTGTTACGCAATAAATTTGTTGATTTCACCTTCGTGGCTACGTTCTGCTTCGACGATGTGAAGAACGACCTCGAGACCACGAATCTTACTTCTTGTCAAGAGACAATCGTTTACTTCCCATGCCCCGGCAGTTTGTGTGTGAAAAGGTGCACCAGGAGTTTTCTTTCACAGTACCTACGCAATCTTTGACCTATAAAGGGCAACATGCAAAGCCGTCAGGTGTACGACTCTGCGGATTTCTGTAATAAACAACAAATACGAAGATGTATGTGGTATATGAAATTGTATTGCTCACTTTTAATTGAAGATACAATATTTGACAATACAAAATTTATTACAATTCGTATTACAATCTTTGTGATTTTCGCTTCAGCATTTCGTAACTATAAATTTACGTTCTTCTAACGTTAACATTGACGATGTTGAAGAGTCAGTTCCCGCGACATCCTGGCACATGCTGGTGCGTACAAGATTCTTGTGTGTTAAGATGTCACATCTCGAGTCGAGGTACTAACTGGTATTAATAGCAAAATAGGACGTTGCGTCATTCGCAGGAAAAGGGAAGCGCCATTAAATGTTTCGAACCGAGGAATGCTCATTTCTCTCGGCATAATCCCTGCCGTTCTATGAACGACGGTCGACGTTCGTCAAGGAGATAGGTATGGCGACAGGATCTCAGGAGTCCAGGGAGCGACCCGAGGGGCGACGATGAAAATCGTAAAGGAGGAGAGTGGGAGAGTGTCTGGTAGTGAAGCGGAGTGGGACTCAGTCACGAAGTCTCACGCCTTCCACCAGTTTCTCAGTCCGAAGACGAACGTACTGGTAGGTAGTGGTTTTGCCGCTCCGCTCCGAGACCATCCGCGCGCGTGTGTGCGTGTGGCGTGGTTGGTGTGTGTGTGTGCGCGAGCGTAGAACGGCACAAGAGCGGCTCCTCCGCAACGTCGATGTGTCAGTGTCGTTCTTGAGATACCCATACAGGACTTTCGTCGCTCTTTTTCGAGCCTGCGTTCGCCGTCATCGCTCAGAAAAGATTCGTAGGATCGAGTCGACGGTCGAACGCGAAAGCAGCATCCGCCATTTTCGCTATCTCCGCGCGTGAGGCCCAATGAGGCCCACCGGTGCTGGTATAGTGATTCGCGCGGCCGACGCCTGCGGCCGCGCCTCTGGATTCCACATACACCAGCACATGGCTCGCAGAAATAGGTGTTAAATTCTCACCGTCGCGTCGCCCTGTTTTCTCTACTCGCCGTTCTCCAAGGATATCTACGTGGTGGTATCCTGACCGCGAATGTATCGTGTACCGAGTATGCGTATATGTACATGTGACAGCGGCTACACGTGGAGGTGCATTCGTGAGGGACAACGACGGCTACGCCACTGCGTCGCATACCAGCGAGGGCCCCGGGTCTGGTAGCGGAGAAGGGGTTAGAGAAGCCTAGAGAACTGAAAGGAAGCGACAGAGATAGAGCACGGGAAGGGGCTGTGATAGAGAGAAGAGGTATAAAGGGAAAGAAAGCGACGGAGACAGTGAAGGAAAAAAGAGAGAGAGAGAGAGAGAGAGAGGGAGGGAGGGAGGGACAGAGGGAGTAAAACGGAGCCCGATACTGGCAGAGGGGGATTTGCAAGAAGGCGGCCATAATGGCCTGAAGCGATCTCTGGAGCGAGCGGCTACAGCTGCTGCGAAATATCCACGCTGCCGAGTTCCTCTCGCTGTTACTGCGCGTACGTATTTGCTGCGCTGCGACGACGTGTATGCGCTGCATCGTGTTACACACCGCTTATCCGCCTGTCTTTGGAAAGCAGCGACTGCGTAATC